ACAGTTATAGATGAAATCCCTTTTTTCCAAGTTAGCGCCATCATTATTATTATTAAATTCAATTTATATAGCGCTCAATTCATAAAAAATGTTCAGGAGTGCTTAACAATATTTAAAAAAATACCTATTAGAACATCTATTTACAAAGACCCAAAATAATTAAAATAGGCACAATTTAACATTGATTTAAAAGTTTAACCAAACATGGTGGGACTCCCACACGCAGCCAGCACCAACTCTCCCTCCAACGACCCATCGTGCGCTCAAGACTCATCCTTGTGCCCAAAAACTGGAAGCACACTCCAAGAGAACACCCAGATTCTCCCAGACAGGTACGGTCCAACAAAATTAAAGACGACAAATTTATTATCAAAACTAATAACCACTCAGAGTGTAGAAATTAATAATATGCTTTCTTAAAAAGATATGTTTTTAAGATTGATTTAAAAGTAATGACACTGGTAGCACTTCTTATATTACATGGAAGCTTATTCCAGAGATGTGGCGCACAATACCCAAATGCTCGATCTCTGAGGGTGGCCTTAGCCCGACCTGATGGATAATTGAGGAGGACACCATCACTGGAACTACGAAGATGAAACGGTTCCGAGGCCTTACGGAGACAAGCTGAGTTAAGTATTGAGGAGCTAAATCATGTAAGGCTTTCTATGTCATCAACAAAATTTGAAGCTGCACTCAAGCTGCACTCAAAACAAATAACACCAAACGTGTACGTGTTTTCTGTTCACGGCCATCAGCAAATCATTTTGATGAAGTAATTTGAGCAAATTTCATTCCCATGTTCAAGCCTGATGGAAGGGGAAACCACCACTGGCTTGCATGAAAACTTTTGGCCAATTCAAATATTTTGACTAGTGGGTGTAATGTGGTATTACAAGAGAGGAGAGTGATGGGCTGCTTGGCCAAATTTTGAAAGTCAAATTTCTTTTTGGTCCAGCATAGAGTCCGAGTTTCAAAACATGAGTACTGTACTGCGTCCCCTCCCCCTTCAAGAGCAAACCCCGTGTGCGGACAGCTTTGTTTTTGATCGCAATGGCACTCACCCAAGTTGAGAAACCGCTCAGAAGTATCTTTCCTCATGCAGGTGTAATGTTTTTAATGAGGAATCTTCTATTTTATTCTAAAAACGTACAATTATAGATGAAATTCCTTTTTTCCAAGTTAGCGCCATTATTATTATTATTAAGTTCAATTTATATAGCGCTCAATTCATAAAAAAATGATCAGGAGTGCTTAACAATATTAAAAAATATCTATTAGAACAACTATTTACAAAGACCCAAAATAATTAAAATAAACACAATTTAACATTGATTTAAAAGTTTAAACCAAACACGGTGGGACTCCCACACGCAGCCAGCACCATTATTATTATTATCTATTATAATTTTCATTATTAACTCTTTTGCATTAAACTAAAAAAATAAGAAAATACTAAATGCATATTCATGAGCAAAATATGAGAAGTTGTTTCAGCCAGCTATTGGGGCTCATGAGCACACACAGTCCCCCAAGTCCATTCTATTGCGTGCCATTTTTTGCCTTTATTTTTCTCAGGAAGTTGGAGGCCCCTCACAAGCCCCCAAATGCCGTCCTTGTGGAATCTCAAATTGGAAAAATTAAACACATGTGCCACAATTGGAGACTCCATCGTCCTTCCTTAGAGCTGCCTTGACATATGGATAAGTAAATTTACGCCTTTGTCCATCATCCTATCACAGTAATGTCCAGTAACAGGGACTAAGACTGAATTAGTGTCCGGAAATCGGGTTGGGTTTTTAAGGTTAAACGTCCAATTAAATTCAAGGTTCTTGAGTTTTGACACACTAATTCTCTCAATTAGATTTAATGCCTTTGTGATATTGATACGTTAATCTGATGACAACTAGCCTCTTCTTGTAGACTTCAAGGACAAATATAACGGTAGGATCTAGGTCTTAAACACCGTAGTGTGTGTGCATGCGTATTCATTGAGACATGCACACAGGTGTTCAGAATCTATTCTGCAATCTAAATCAAGATGCGGAAACGCGGAATATACCCTAACGGTGCGTGGAAGGATTTCTTATGGTCTCTAGTGATATCACTAGTGTCTCCTTTCCAATAACACGTTCTGGCTTTTGTGAGACCCAGACCAAACAAGGCAACAGGCAAGTGGCCACTCAGCTCCGAAGGGATGCTTGCCTCCTAGTCATCATCTACGCTGCTCTTAAAAATACTTTCAAAAGATTTGTTTAAGACGAGTAAAGGGAGTTTTGATACAAACTATCTAGAATCTCGCTTGTTAAGTTGTGAGAATCCCAGTCGAGCAAGTTCATACTGAAATTTGAAATCTGTATTAGAGATTTTGTTTTCCGATGTTATTTTCCGAGGATTTTCATCCGTATTCTCTAAAACGTATAGGAAAAGAAAAATCAGGGATTAATCCCCCGATAAAACTTAAATATAGGGAATACTCATTTGGTTAAATATAGATTCGAAACGGACAGCAGATCCGCCATCGTGAATTTCACGTCAGAATTACTTGATTTTAACACGAGGGACGGTTCGTGTCACATGGATCTCGATCAGGCGTCCCAGAGGTAGGTTCGCTCCATCCACTCTGCGGGCTAGGGTGCCAGTGAACCAGCGACAGATCACAAGTCGCCATCTGGGTTGATGCGAAACAAACAGGCGCAAAGGCATTCATGGAAATGGATGTAAGGGGGATGGCGGCTCCCGCAGGTGCATATATTTTGGATTTATTTAAGTACTTTCGACGCTCGGACATAAAAGCCGCCAATGTCTGGAAAGCATCGGGATTTCGGCCATTTTAAGGGTATACCATTGTTTAAAAGTTCTTTCAAGAATCTTTTATCACTTGGCATTACAACGACTGTGTGAACGGCAGAGACAAACTGTTTTTGTGCCTGAACAGAATCTGAGGGTTGCACACCTTCACGACGCGATGCGTGTATTCACACATTTGTATCGTTTAAGGTACAATGTTTTTACCCAGTAAAGATTATACGGCCTAATTTGTGATCACGGTCGCCAGTACTCTCCCTCACTCAACTTAATACTCACTGAACTGGTATGTATGTGCATCGACTGCCCTCGTACCGTGGTCAAGGCTGGCAGCTAACAAAGTTATTTCCATGGCACCCACTGTACTGTCATAAGGCGTGTCTGTCAAGCCTGTTTTCCATATGGTCGCACCGAACGCAGCACAGTGGCATCCGACTCTACGAAAATTTTCGCATAAAATACCTTTTAACGTTATAAGACCGGCACTTAAACCCAGTATGGTACAGTGGCGTAGCTAGGACTTTACTAGTGGGGGAACAAAGGGGACACCAGCATCTTACGGGGGACCACTTGCTTTTAGTGGTGTGATTGTTCAACATCCATTCATCTGTTGTTGTGTTTGTTGTTGTTTTTTTGGGGGGGGGTTGGGTTTTTTTTTTTTTTTTTTGCGGGGAACCTGGGGAGCACCGGAATTTGTGAGGAGCACGTGCCCTCCCCCCGAGGCTACGCCACTGATCTGGTACTTCCGTTTGGTGCATGTATTTTTTGTTTTACAGTCAGCTACTTTATTGACAATTGGGACACATAATAATGACAATGAGAAAAATAGACAAAATGAGGAGTTCTCAGCGGGAGAGACATCGTTGTGCAGCGTGCGTGTATAGGCCTTCTATGGTGTCTGATGGCATACAGTCGGCAAAGTTAAACCGGATCCAACTTTCCTGACTGTCTGTGTCGATATTGTCGTGACTGCTCCGTGATGCTCTCGTCTGCGTCTTTTTACGTCGATGTGGAGACCAGGCTTTATGAAGATTCCTTCCTATCTAGTGATGCATTTTATTTTTAACCGTGAAAGTATCCCACAGGCAAACCGCCAGACGCGCCTGAAAAGAGGCATCACCCATACTTAGCTGGTCTGTTGGATTGGATGTGTTGCCCTACACAAAAGCGTAATTATAAACCCTGTCTACTCGGTGTTTTCCAAGAGCTTGTGACAAATACCCTCAAACATAATACTTCAGATGGAACTCGCACTCGTGACCTTCTGTTTATACTTGTTCAAACTTCTTGCCGCTTGACTGGCCAGCTGGAGTCAGTTTTAGGCGGCTCGAGTCAGACTGAGCAGCAGGTGCTGCGTTAATAGGGGCTTTGCGTGGTAGCCATCTTGCACCCAGTTCTTTTTTCCAGAGAGTAACCCCGTTTGTGCATATACCGTGTGGAACAAACGCACTGGCCTGCGAGATGGAAGTCAGTTTAGCTGGCGTTTCTGCTGTGATGATTACGAGCTTAGCATTAATGGATTATATACGATGAGCACTCTTGCTGCTTCTTGTTATTGAAACTGCGTACAGGTTTTTGTAAAGATAAACGGCTCCGTTGACGACGATCCAATTAAAAGCGTTGACGAGCGGAAGTTACGAAATACAGACACACTGTCTAAAAAAATTATTTTTATTAATATTCAGACACTCTCCGTTTTATGATGGTTTATTCAAGATAGTCCCAGTAACACAAATAGTAATTTCCTCCTATTATAGTGTCACCCATGTAACACAGCGTAACTCTTGTGGTAACTTATAATTTGGTTAGTATTTTAACTGACTTGGAAAGGATCAGGTTACAACTTCGTCTTGCTTGTTCCAAAACGGCACGTAAGTCCAAGACTGAACAGAAGGAACTAAAAACGAGTGTGTTTAACGTAATAAATACGAATAGGCCTACCCTTTGTCAGGGCACTCCAGCAAAAAGGTAAAACGGCATGTGAGTGTAGGAGATTTCATATAAATGGAAGATTCGTTGGGTATTCCGAAATTCGTATCCTTGTGGAGACATGGCTTTGTTCGGCTGTTCTTCAACTGTTACTGAGAGCAGGTACCTAAGAGGCCCTACTGCCAGTGCTTCGCAATATGCTGAGTTGCGTTTGTTTCTTTGTGAACTTACGGAGATTAGATCCACAAACTTAGAAAATTCTCTCGCAATTTCAGGAGCTGAAGACAACCCATGTAATAAAGTCGTACATGAAATATAAATCAGAATGAAATGATTCACGAGGTGACAAATGGAATGTTTAAATGGATCTTTATCTGTTTGTCACCGTATATCTTTATCTGCATTGCAAAATGTCAAACATTCACTACCGGTTTTGTTTTATTCATAGATTGACGGTATCCTATAAAAAAAATCCCTGCGTCAGCACCCACGTAGGTAAATAGATCATGACACCACACGCCAAGGGTCACAAGGAAAGCCCTGGGTGGATCCCATATGTTAGTCACGTGGGCACTGAGCGATATCGGAACCTTGATTTGAGGAGATTAGTCGGAATCATCTGGTTAGAGATCCAGACTAGACGCAGGCTTTTTGTAGACGCGTTTTCGGTGTACGTCGTGGTCCGCATGTGTTACTGTCCGTTCAAATGTGGATGTGTGCCAGGTTTGTATAAACTTGGTATTCGTGTTTTCCAACCTGATTTTTAGAGCTATGTAAAAAGACTTTCTGCATGTGCTCGCGAGATTAAGCAGGAAAAACCCAGCATGCATAAGAAACTAATAGCAACACGATCGAATAGGATTTTTTGAAGATAAAAAATGAACAAAGCCAGAAAACCTGAGAGAAAATCAACATCGCAACCCTACACATTTTCAGTGGTCCTTGCTGTCAAGGTTATTTGTGTACATGCGTGCATAATTATGAATTCATTAGTGAAAAGGTCTATTCCCGAGATGGTGGTTCGTCTGGAGATAGCGCCCTCTAACAGAGTGATGGTTCGTGATTGCAGAATTAACTACACAGACCCAGCCCTACTCCTTCCTGAGGTCAGGCATTACCACACAATAGATTAAAATCTTAAATGAAGTGAAGGCTCATTTAAATACCTTTCAATTTATTGGGTGGCAATGCTTGACCTCACGGAAGGAGTACGGCAAGGTTGGCAGGTCTGAACTACATACTGGGAGGTCTCGGAATCAAGACTACTGTATAACCCGGCGGCATTGCTCGTTGTGACTTCATCAGACCGTCATCAAGAACCTTGCACGTCGGCGGGGTTGGAAAAAGCGGAGCATGATGGGTGGAGCGCTGTCAGACACGGTATTGTGTCCTGCCCAGGCAAGGTCGCTCATCCCTCTGGTCGCGTTCCCTGCCCATGGTCTGTACGATCGAGTACCTCCTTGATCCTTTCAATCTCTTCGTCTTTCTGCATATCATAAACGAAAATAAGAGGAAAACACTGATTTGGGATCTTTGAGAATGCTTAAAGGGATTAGGCAGTGTAAGGGTTTAACGTAGCTCCTGTACATTCATTCATCTTTCTGTCCATTTTACATAATTTTTACATATTGACATCTTTATTTCCTGTACTAATGCATATCTATATTTCGTGAGCAGAAGTGTGATGTAATCGAAGGCACAAAACCCGACGGTAAAAGTGAGAACAAAACATGTTCGCTGTAAGAATGACATCATGAATTTGGCGGTGCAAATGTCTCGTAAATGAAAACAATGCTAAAAGCTGAAGGACAATGGCCCGCTATGGGGAATAACACTCAAACTCCAATTCTGTAAGCTTCATAACCATGCATAAAATGAAAGTGGAACCATGTCGGTTTCACAGATTTCTTCTAAAATGTAAATACTATTGAAAATGCGTGTGTGGTCAGTCACTTCGTCTCCTGGCAACCGTTCCTTTCACGTATGAACTTATCTGATGAACTTACTCTAATGTTTGTCCAGGTAAATAAAGTGAATTTGCTTGCTGGTCAGCTACTGAAAACAATGGCTGCCAAGAACCAGCAAAGCCTTAAATGTAATTAAATAAACACTTTTAGTCCACGTTTGTGTGAACTCTGCACCTCAACCGTAAGTATCGATCCATCTAAACGTATACGTTCATCTGTGATAGTGCACAATTGTTAATACTTATTGTAAATGCACAGCGAGGAACAGTAATCAAGAGGCAATGAACTTGCGTTTATTCTTTAGCTGCTTTCCAGCACTGTCTATAACTTCGCGCTGAATTGCAATTACAACATTCATTGCAACCATTAATTTACCCTTTTCAACTTGTTTTTCAGGTCTTTTATTTCCTTCTCTTTTTCCCTGATCGTTGAATCATCCACGCTACTGCTGCACGTAGCTAGTCTTTCTAGCGCTGGACCGACTTGATTATGTACGGAAAACGGGTGCTGATCTTGTGAGTTGCTATTCGACTTTCCCTGCCTCAGCGCAACAATCTGAAGAGGAGAGAGCATGAAATGGACTTAGTAATTAAACAAAGAACAGAAACATAAGATGACAAATAGGACTATAGCCTCAGCTGTCGAATCCTCGGTTCTGTGTACTTCTGTTGTTTCTGTATATTTTTGGTTTATAAATTTCAGTTGTGTCAGGTTATTTTCCTCAAACCTTCATGAGATGGTTTCAGGGCAGAAACACAGACCATGAAGTCGAAGTTTCAAGTTTATGAGGACGTAAAAATGTGTAGCCTTATCCACTCGTGATGGGCGGCGGACATATTGCACCTCAGCAAACATTAACTCGAAAGACGATCGCAGAAAGATGTTTCAAACTGAGGAAACACTCTGGTAAACACTAAAAAATATGATGAAATGGCCCCTTCCATCGCGATGCATCGTACGGAACACTTACCAAGAACCCATCGACTGATGGCGTGAACATTTTGATGTGAGTAAACTAAACACACAAAAAAGTTTCTAATACGAGTGTTTCACAAGAGTGCGCCTCCAAGAGTTTGCAAGGCGTTGGCCAATCACAATGCGCAAAATCTCTCGACTCAATGCGCGTTTGGAAAGGGTCGACATATTTGGCGAGTTGTTACTGGCCAACGTGTTGCAAACTCTTGGAGGCGCACTATTGTGAATCGCCCGTATTTGAAAAGTTCATTTTGCTTTGACACGCAACTTTCGTCATCAAATATCTGATATTTATAATTGGGACAATTTTAGTGGGTTGTCGTGGTGGGCATAAGCAGGAAACGTAGTTTGAAATGCATTAAAAATGCCGATCGGCCACAACATTCTGGTTTAAAAAAAACAGGCTGTGCTCCTGGTGCTCATATATAAGGCAATAATTGGAAGCCAGCAAGACCCTGGTGAATCTTAGAAAGGAAATGTGTTATAGTGCGGGACCTAAGATTTTTGAAAATGGACACTTTTTCTGCGTCCCATGATTGAAATGTCATAGTGGTCATTAACTCATACATATAGCGATGTACATAAAGAAATCAGCCTATGCACAACGTACCTTAGGAATAAAAATCAAAGAGTTGGTGACAGTTGTCCCGAAGAGGATGCAGGATGCAGTGAGGATGTAAGAGACGCCAGGCAAATCGGTGCTGATGAAGGTAACCAGAGGGGCAACGATGATGCTTGGAACAGCCACGTTGTAGATAGCCACAGCAATGTACTTGGAATCATTCAGCTGAGGAATGGTTACCTTTCTGCAATCCAAGATTTTTTTCACATATTAATTCGGCGTTTTTAGAGCTGATTTGCCTTAACACTCAAGACGCGATTTATTTCCAGCAAGGTATACCGTCATCTTTATTTTTGGCGATGCTGTTTCGTCATCATTTTCATGTATATTATCAGCCTTGTTTTGTAATCGACTTCTTGTCATTTCCCCGCCCTTTTCATCATAACAATCCATTTTATCAGCAGTTCAAGATAAGATGCATTATTTCCAGCTAGCCAAAGACTAGGTAATCATTGTGCTTGCAGTGTACCCAATGTGGCTTGGGTCTGTGCCCATGTGGTGCACAGTGGTGTTCGTAGTGTACCCAATGTGGCTTGGGTCTGTGCCCATGTGGTGCACAGTGGTGTTCGTAGTGTACCCAATGTGGCTTGGGTCTGTGCCCATGTGGTGCACAGTGGTGTCTGTAGTGTACCCAGCATGGCTTGGGTCTGTGCACATGTGGTGCACAGTGGTGTTTGTAGTGTACCCAGCATGGCTTGGGTCTGTGCACATGTGGTGCACAGTGGTATTCGTAGTGTACCCAATGTGGCGTGGGTCTGTGCCCATGTGGTGCACAGTGGTGTTCGTAGTGTACTCAATGTGGCTTGGGTCTGTGCCCATGTGGTGCACAGTGGTGTTCGTAGTGTACCCATTGTGGCTTGGGTCTGTGCACATGTGGTGCACAGTGGTGTTCGGAGTGTACCCAATGTGGCTTGGGTCTGTGCCCATGTGGTGCACAGTGATGTTCGTAGTGTACTCAATGTGGCTTGGGTCTGTGCCCATGTGGTGCACAGTGGTGTTCGTAGTGTACCCAATGTGGCTTGGGTCTGTGCACATGTGGTGCACAGTGGTATTCGTATAGTGTACCCAATGTGGCTTGGGTCTGTGCCCATGTGGTGCACAGTGGTGTTCGTACTGTACCCAATGTGGCTTGGGTCTGTGCACATGTGGTGCACAGTGGTGTTCAAGTGTTTGGCATGTGGCCCACTGAGAAATAATGTGACCGGTTTGCAAATCCATCGGTATCCGGAACGCTGATGAATATTGGAATGAAATAAATGTCATTGTGGTTGTGGCATAAACTCAAACCCGTCTGTAAATTCGGACTTGTTTTCGTAAGTCTGAGTATAATTGTCGCTATTTTCACTGTTACGTCTTGTCCTTCCCGTTGCCTTCGATAAGCTTGCCATTATTACCTTACTGGCCAACGTTTTATCACTGTTAAGTATTATCATCATCAAATGTATCTCCAGGTTCATTTTACTAGCATGACAACGCTGGAAACACTATTTCTGTGGTGATACATCATGCAGTTTTATTAATCGCTACATATTCTTTTCTGTTCCTCTACATGGAGCCTTCATTTTCGTCACCGAAATCGGGGGGGTCCAGAGGGTTGGTTTGGGGTCAACCCCCTGCTCTGCCACAAAATAAATAAATATGCATTTTTAAAGGTACAGAACCGTAATAATAATAATAAAAGGGGACATCCTACGATGAATATTACGTAATGCATTACCTATGTGTCCAGTTGTCTGCAACAATTAGACATTAAATAACCTGACCGGCAAAACACCCCGTACAAATAAGCTGTTTGCAAGTTCAATTTGAATAAAATCTGGTACACTGAGTTATCTGATTACACATAAACACATAACGATTCGAATTCCCCAGACTAAAGACACTGTTGCTATATCTCATGAATCAAGCAAAAGCTTGCCCCGCATCACGAGGTATGGCAACAGTGGTTTTAGTATGGACAATTCAAGTTATGATCACGTGAATTTAAAGAACTCAGTGTGCCAGATTTTGGTCAAAGTTAACTCGCAAACGGATTCTTCCTGGATCTGCCCCTGCAATCCACAACAGCCATATCAAAGACGCCTTAAGCTTGTATTATATCGTCGGTGAAGCTTACAACAGTGTTGTTGTCGAGACCATCACAAGACCACGCATAAGACGAGACACAAGACCAGTCACGAGTAACAGGTTGAACAATGACAAAAGAATGCTCTTGTTGTAAATTATTTGAATAGCTTGTGGCCTGAATTCATTTGGGGGTCTTGTGCTGGTCTTGTATGGTTTTGTAAAGGTCTTAAGTGGTCTCGACTACAACACTGAACAGCACAGCACACGTGATATATTTTTTTCCTGCCACTTACCTCGTTTCCCACGCCAGAAAGGCCCCAAACATCAGTAGGATTCCTTTCCAACAAAATATGATGCCGATCCAGAGAAATCTGGGTGACTCGGGTGAGTCACATTTGTCCACCATTCTTATAGTGATCTTATCAGCCGCTGTGTCAACCTGTCATGAGAAGTACATTCCATGTTGGCAATCCGATACATTTCACTGTGCACAGATTTTAATCATGCATTCAATGTCGCTCATGGTAGTCATGGCAGCCAACACCAAAGATTTGTCTCACAAAACAAAATATGCGAATACTCTTATAGGCCAAACACCTCAAGGATATCGGGTTGTTTAACGTCTAGAAAGCATCTGTCTCAAGGTTTTTGCTACAGACAGGATATTCAAGGTCTTTGGTGCTTCGTTCATCAGGAATACACAGTGACGAGATGGTTTTCTTTTTGAGGAAATAGGTGTCATATAGTTCCGCTAAAAATCAGTAATTGTTTGTTATGCATTCTTAGAAACCTCAATTAAAGTGATCAAAATCGATATGCACTGAAAAGCCATTTTCTCTTTGAGTGATCCCTAAATGCTTTTCCTGCAGTTGCAAACTGAAAAAAAGGCTTATTCGGGACTTCGGTAGGGAGCATGGAATTTTTTCTGAAAATCACTGTCCATTGTTTTGGTCTGCAAAAAAACATTCCTGACTCCTTTAGTGTTTCTAAAATTCTGGCGTTTCACTTCCCCTTGAAAACTTATGGCAACATTTCACTGGCGACAACTTGCCCCCTTTCCCTATCCTCGCTGAATAAGCCAAGGTTTGAAAAATCCTTCACCGGTCAAATTAACGGTTCAAACAAACATGACTTTTGTGTTTTACCACGAAACACCGTGCGTGGTGGTTCATAACTGTGTTTGTATTGGAAACCATTTCAAATGCTCGTCAGGCTAAAACTAAATGTCGAACTTCTGACGTATCATAATTCAATTCGCTTCATTCGACAAAGAGCCAGAGAAGTCCGGAAGCTGCATCAAAAATCGAATTACTGTTGAAACTAATTGAATCGTTCAAGATCGCGGACCTTGAGAGAAGAGATCTTCTGCGAAATATTATATTATTATAAAGTATTGTATCCGAGGTGAAATAGTCAAGGAGAGTTCCCACTGTTGTTTATTAATTTTGTTTCTGCTAAACCTTCGAGAAAATGTCACTCTTTAAATTCAAAATATTGAAACTAGGGTCAAGACAATTTAGCTTAAGAATGCATATTTTTGCCTTATTGAGAGGAAGGATTTATCATCCAGTCTTGCAATATTTGCATGAGATCTTTAAACAGTTGCATTCTTTGCATTTGGTAGTCATATCCAGCCACACAGTTACGCCAAGCACAGTTAATTCGCAAAGGGGTCTGACAGGCACATGCTCAGTTTCAAGGTCAAATCTTCGATTCAGGTCAGGAACGCGCCATTTTAATCAAACACGCCAGAAATTCGACTTTTGCAGTCGTGCAACTCTTCCTCCATTCTGGGCAGCTAACAAGGCGTCCCATTCCTGCCTATTCTAATTCCGATTTCACGCGATTATTTGAAACAGGCACTGCAAAATCTTGCTGTTTAGAGTGGATCTTTTACCAAGAAATGTTACAGACTGTTTCCTGACATTGAGTGGATAATGAGGAACCATGGACCGGGATGTTTTTCATTACAGACTAAATTCGTCGTTTATGTTCTGTTTGCACCTTTTGGGCTTCTGGGTTTCTGTGTGTTGCATATTTTCTCCCAGCTTTCTTTAATTTGTCAGACCTCATTGAACGACCGCAGACATGCGGACATATTTCAGCGCAAATTTGTATCTTATTTCTTTAATACAAAGATAAGGGGCGGTAAATGTAGTCTCTATCCATCATGACAGATGCCGTATTTTTATTCCAGCTTTTTTGAGCATTTATGGATCAAAACCTAACAAAAAACTGTTCTTTCTAAAACACGCCACAGACACCTACCTGCTCAGGAAGAGAAGTGCGGACAAGTCGGCTGGGATCGTGCCCAGTCCAGACGGATATGATGACGACATCAATAGCAACAACCACGCCAATGATGACAAAGAGATGGTAATCCACAATCTGGAGGTGAGTGGGTGGGGAAAGTAATGAGTGTAAGGAAGTTATCATAAAGTGTTACCAAGTGTCAGGGGCAAGTTACATTTGAGCATCAGTTCTTTAAGCTATGTGACTGAAGTTCAGAACCAGGCTGTCTGAAGAGCAGGAATAGGTTTGCAAAGGAACACTTGTCAACAATTCCACATTCAGAACTGGAGACTGTGACTACGGTTAAATGTCCTCCTTGCTTCAGTAGCCGTACACATCGCTTTTTTGATAAACGAAAGCAGCAGAAAATTGAAACTTGAGGATCAACATACCCTTGTGCGCTTGGTCTTGTTTCTAAAGATGACGTGAACTCGCCAGGTTTTTGCAAAGAGTCCGCCAAATGCCAGGGAAAAAGATATCGGAAGAATCCATACTTGGGCCTGCCGCAGTGAAATGAATGAAAGAAAGGCTGATGGATTTGAGTTCTTCATGGTTTAGTTTTATATTTGTTTTTATGGCTCTAACTACTGACACGCAGTTATAAGCTAAGTAGCTATAGCTATGTGAGCAAGGGATTAATCGGCAAGCAACATGCTTAAAGCATATTAGCATTGGAGTCAAGGTGTACTTTAGAGAGCACCCAGGCTGACTAACAAGCAAGTACAAAGAATCTTTAATACTTTATCAACTATTATTCGTGTGTCACAAGGGGCAAGGGGGTGGTGTCCTCTGAAAGAAAACAAAATGAAAATTAAACCGCAGAAAAAGGGGAAATGCGAAAGAAATTAAAAAAGAGATGAAAGTGGATGAAAATCACCAATTTCCATGACAAAAAAACTCCAATTGACCTCTCCATCCGTTAATTGCTTATCATAGTTGAGCTCATGATATGCAGCTTTACCCTCTCCCTGGAAGATCCCCTTAAGAAAGTGGTTCCCCCTCCTAAACAAAATTCGCTGGCGACGCTCACGCTGTCACTAGCAACTGAGGCAACAACTTTGGGCAGAAAAACTGACAGCAACTACAAACTACTCATGTCATGTGCAATGCATGAATGAAACACAATCGCTAATGAGCGACGGGGGAAAGTCGAACGAAGCAGACACCAAAAAATTAATGGGGCTCAGCATGGAAGTTGTCTTACCAAGCACGCTGCATTGCTGACCCACTGTGACACAACATTCTGGTTCAGGCCAGCCACGATAACGTCCACGTAACACATGAAGCACCCGACCGCTATCACGTTGTTCACGTTGGGACACGACATTTTAATCACTCTTTAAGTGGCAAATAAGGACAGGAAAGTGTGAGTTATGAGGGCTGCTTCGTGGTATCTACAGTTCAATTAATGGTGTTTAAATGTTTCAATGCACCACTGGTCTTCTTGCTCAACGGTGTGTTCTCTTGGCCGTTCATTCTTGGGACTTTTTAGGTTTAGTTTTTACAACCAACGCATAACGCATTTTTCACTTGTAAAAATAAGACGGTAGGGAAGTTTGCCTACGAGTGCATTTTCAGCACTGATGACCGATGACATGTCAGTCTTGGTTCCAGGCTGGTTGTGTCATGTTCACGGTATTTACAACCTTAGCATGGAGTTGTGGCGATGCATTACTTTGGCAAACGATACATCTACTGTTGGATTTACTGCATGCATGAAATCGATCCCGTGATCAAATCAACCATAGAGGAAGGACACAGAAGGAGTTTGAACTGCCTGGGCTGTAACATCTGGCCAATTACCCCTTTTTGGCATTCCTGGTACATGTATGTCCATAGCCAGAGTGCAGCGAACGCCTGCTACCCACCATCTGTTTCACAACCTCGAAAACCCCTTTGTACCCTATGATCGCCGCCATAATTTGTCGCTGGTAATCTTCACCCTTAAACCTTTGTGCACTGAGGTATAGAAAATTGAATATTCATGCATTTATTGGTGCTTGGTATGATCTCATGGCAACATTAAATTTAATGCTTTTTTCTCCCTCTATTTCCTGTTCACAGCAATAAATTGTATTTAACTGCAAACAAAAAACTACTAGTATTGTCAGGATATTACTGGCCCCCTTGTCCGGCTAAGATGCGGGCAGTAATCAGGCATTTGTGGAATGTTTTCTATTGTTTGTCTGACTCGGCGGCGACCATCATTAAACACTTTGAAGTGCCAGAGTTAAAACTCCTGTGTCCTTCCTCCATTGTCATACACATTACCCGATTTAACTACCCACCGCTATTAACGAACGAGGCTTTTACTATAAATTTTGAAGGCTGCGTAGCTCCGTGATCAGAATATTGACAAGAATATGTTTGGAATGGGGCCGAAATACATTGCAGTATTACCTGAATTGCGTAACAACTTCAGCAGTAGCCTATTATGCGTAGTTGTGGGTACAAAAGGAGGGGAAAAGTGCGGTTGAGCTGGCTTTGATTTGAAAGGTTATAGATTTGTAGCCTCAAAGTTCATTTACACTAAGGACAAAAGCAACTTCAACACATTCTCGATCAATACCATAACATATTTCGGCCCCATTTAGTAGTGAGGTAAAACTTTTTTTTTGGTAAAAGCCTCGCTCTTTAAAAGTAACGGGTAGTCGGATCGGACGGTGTGTGTGACTCCTTACCGCAGCTAGATGATTTGATCACGACCTAAAACTTTGAGAGACTCCCTCTATAGACATTACTGCGCATCATCAAATTTAAGTGACGTGCATAGTGTACACGCAGCAATGTAGAGTGCAGTAACATAGGCAAGTACATGCATGTTGCGGGCAGCTGCTTCAGCAGGTAATTCTTGTATCAATTAACGTGAAAGCACTATCCCCTTAAAATCACCCACCAGCGTAACACGCAAGTGTTAGTGGTTCGCAACCGCGCTTGGTAAACTATACACTATAGGCAGTGAGGTTCACTTCAACATAAAATTACTTGAATTCTTCATCAAATTGCGTTATAGTCTTCACCTCTGCCGTAACCTGGAAGGTCTTTTAGTATTATTTTCATTGTAGCTTAGCAAAATCTTTATCTAATTTGTAATCCTATCCATCTTATTTGTTCTCGTTGATGTTCATATGTTATTCGTTTATTTATTTATCTATTTTTTTCTGGTAACATCCTAAGAGAGCCTCACGATAGTGATTATGTTCGCTTCTTGGCAATCCCTCAGGGGTGTTACAGGCTTATTCTTCGTATTTTGTCACTTGCTGTGTCTCTGTTTGTAAGCTTTGTTTGTTGTCTCCGTTTTGATACCTGAGAAATAATAAATGAAATGAAATGTACCATTGTCAGTAGAGAAGTTGCCCACAGCAGTCATCTTCCCGATAGGCCTAACTGTTTTGTTACCCATTGGCAAGGATAGCCAAAGAGGTCTACTCATATGTATCCCTGTAGCACAAAAGCTCTTGCCGGAAAATGGCTACCACACACAACAGCGACCGTATGGAATTCGCTTTCTGGCTCTGCGTCGCCCCTCCCCCCCCGCATTTCATAAAATAAAGCTCTGAATACAGTTCGTCATGCCGCTGTATACGCCCGTGACAGAGGAAAATAGACATTAGGTCACCTGGACCAGTGAAAATGCCTTACCATAATTACTCGAGAAGCTTGGATTGAGTCTGCGGTACATTAAATTCACACGATTTTCTGTGACGAGTGAACAAAATGGAATGGGTACCTTTCAGCTCTGTAAATGAGGTTGACGATGAGGAACGCCACCGTACCTCCCATGCCAATCACAGCCAGTACCGTGAAAGCGACGAACGTCACTGCATCAATGCCGATGTACAAGGTCTCCCGCATCGGGCCATCCATAGGAGCGATACCCTCTGAGAATCAACAAGTACGATTGAATTCAATTTTACAAATCTTCAGATATGAAGATAAATAACATCATAAATTAGGTTGCCCCTGTAATTACTACAAGTCCACAAAGAACAGGTTTTGAATGGCAAATCTCACAAATTAAAAACAACCTGAACAATTTTAATCAAAATGAAGAACTTTATTTCCTTTTTCAGCATTATGAAACCAAATGTACATAAAAGAAGTCCGACTCTCAATATGGTATACCAAGTGTGAGCAGGAATAAATTCACGCGTAGAAAAAGTAATCAAGTTGACTGTTTCAAGTTGACTGTTTACTCTGTCAAGTCCCGTACATTTTTTGCCCGCTTCTGGCTGAAAAGGTATTAAAATTATGCCCCAATCTGCACGACTTTAATTTATTTTTCGTTTGAGCAGTGGTGATGTGCCCTCGACCCCAATCTGAGTGACGTCAATCGGTGACATGTTGCCGTTTACTCTTCCATAGACCCACTTTTGCAACTACGGTATTTGAAAAACTCCAAAGAGATTGCATTTTAACAGTCCAAAGCTGTATTGCTGGACCTGCGAGTATTTCATCGAATCCAATTATCATCAACAGCTCAATCCCTGACAAGACTGAATACACTCACGTCATGTCGTGCCATTAGACAAGTTATGAGTGGGGCGAAAGACTTCGGAGGGGAGGAACAAAGAAACGTAAGGCTGAGTGCGCTTACGGTGTTTAGCAAACGTCCCTGAGGAAACATGTGGAGACATCCCGGAAAAAAATTGAGGAAACTAGAGGGTTTTCATGGTAAGAAGTTCTGTGCACGTTTCACTGAAGTATAGATTCTCCACTTGGACACGAAACTGCGATCCCTGACAGAGCGCACTTTCTCCACTTTTTTCACTTATTAAGGTCTGCGTTACCTACCACCATCAGTTCTGCGTATCATACAGCCACTCGCCAGTCGAGGCACCGACAGCTATCCCAGTAATCCCTGAATATATCATGTATCACAGCTTATTGGAAACGTAACTCCGATCCTCCCTGAGGAAGAACTCGAGGAATGTTACATTCGGCCGTTGAACCTTCACCAGGCGTTGTACTGTTTTTACAGTAGCGAGTATTAAAATGTTTCGCAATGGGGAAAAATCACACACTTCTGTACTATAGTCGAGGGGAATGAACGACAAAAGAAGAAGCTTAAAACAAGTGAGCTTCATTTCAAGACAGGATTAATCTCTGGAGACTTGGCGAGTTATTACGCGTAATCCTAAAAAGCATTGAGCACAGAGTCCGACAGAATGGAACTGAAAGGTTCTTCAGCTATAGGGAACGCATGACAGCAATCTGAGTCATTATACAGAAGAAAAAAACTAATTTGAGTTATCCTAAATCCGGGAACTCAAAAAAGCTGGCGGGGGTACTGCCCGGTAACAGACCAAACTTTGCTAAGAGGTTTCATAACACCCTGCACGAAGTATCTATGAGAGGTTTCTCGCAGCATGTTCTCATAATGCACGCAATGGTTGCTTCCCTTCTCCCGTGGTCATTTGCTTCCTGGATTACCCAGTGACTGATCAATCTAGCTCTTTGCTATACAGTCGCAAGATTTCCTTCTAAATACGAGCTGTTATTTCTTCCGAAATGGCTTTACTCCCTTGTGTCTTTAATCCTTCGATCTTAAAGTTCGTCAACCAGCTGCACTTTCACTCTCAACGAAAATGTCTACGCTTATTAAAACGTTTTTGTATTTTACCAATGAAAGTAAGTTGTTGTTCCCTCGTCCACTGTATACCTTCCTCTGGCAAATACAGACCAACAGTCTCCTCACTCCCATCTGAAATAACAATATATATAAATACCTGCGTGGTAAATCACCTAACAAGCGAGGAAATCGACAGCATTTATCTTTTGCCAAGAACAGAACTTTTTTTCCTTCAGCAAAAAGGACAAACTTAAGGAAATATATCATTGACAGATTCAAGTATGTGTATACTGTTAGATGTTTGATGAGATGGGACACAAGAAATAATGACTCCAGCTCCACCAGATTAAAATATGCCCCTTCTTATGGCTAAACTGTGACGAAATCGATGTTGTTAGTTTACTTCCCTCAAGGCGGTAAAATTGATATATGATTTCGATTGAACGGATTTCATTATTGTCCTCTGCCCATTTTCAGTCGGATTTACAATGAGCAATGGATACGGGTCTGATTTCATATGATAACATGTAATTGTCACTCCGCCTTGAGCAGAAGCATCCCCTTAT